CTAATTATACTCTACTAGAGTGTAAGAAGGGAGCTCTGGTAGCATAGTGGCTAAGACACTTGCCTGCTAACCAGACGGCTGGCGGTTCAAACCCACCAGCCACTCCTCGGAAGGAAGGTTGGGCAATCCTACTTCCATAGTGATGCTGCCTCGGAAACCCAAGGAGGGGTCGCTATGAGTCGGGGTTGACTCGACGGCACATAACAACAAATACTCTACTAGAGTGTAAGAAGGGAGCTCTGGTAGCATAGTGGCTAAGACACTTGCCTGCTAACCAGACGGCTGGCGGTTCAAACCCACCAGCCACTCCTCGGAAGGAAGGTTGGGCAATCCTACTTCCAAAGTGATGCTGCCTTGGAAACCCAAGGAGGGGTCGCTATGAGTCGGGGCCAACTCGACGACAAACAACAACAACAACAACAGAGTGTAAGAAAAAAAAGAAAACTTCCAAGTGTAAAATCTGATAATGATTGAATATAAAAAGGAAACTAGAGACCAGTCTCATTTTTTAATTATCATTGTAAAAATTCTAACTATAATACTACTAAACAGAATCAACATTTCAATAATAAATCTTCATGAACAATTGAGGTTGTTTTCGGCAATACTTTTCAATATTAGAAAATAACATGTTTCAATATTAAGAAGTCTTCCAGTGTAATTTATCATATTGATAAATCTAAAAATAAAAATTATGCAATCATCTCTAAGGATATTGACAAAGCCATTGATATGCCAGGTCTTGATTTTAAAAAAATACTAAAATAGAAATCAATGAATGTACTTTAAACGTGGGTAATAACTCAGTGTCGTAAATCAGTTCTGACTCATACATAGCAACCCCTCCTTGTGTTTCCAAGGCAGTATCTCTACAGAAGTAGATTGCCTAGTCTTCCTTCCAAGGAGTGGCTGGTAGGTTTGAACCACCAACCTTGTGTTAACAGTCAAGTGCTTTAGGCTGTATGCCACCAGAGCTCCCAGGTGAAGGTTAGATGGATATTAAATAAGAGGATAGCTCAAGGGGAACTTAGAGAAAACATTTCATATCTGATGGTTTTCATCTCAATGTTATCCATAATTTGTTAGGATCCACACAGTTGAATGGTTTTGCATAGTCAGTAAAACACAAGTAAACATCTTTCTGCTATTTGCTTTCAGCCAAGATCTGTCTGACATCAGCAATGATAACCTTCATTCCACATCCTTTTCTGAATCCAGCTTGCATTTCTGGAATTTCTCTGTTGATATACTGCTGCAATCATTTTTGAATTATCTTCAGTAAGATTTTACTTGCATGCAATGTTAATGATACTGTTCGATAATTTCCGCATTCTATGGGATCACCTTTCTTTGGAATGGGTACAAATAAGGGTCTCTTCCAGTCAGTTGTACAGGTAGCTGTCTTCCAGATCTCTTGGCTTAGACAAGTAAGTAGCTCCAGGGCAGCATCCCTTTGTTGAAACATCTCAATGGGTATTCTGTCAATTCCTGGAGCCTTGTTTTTCACCAATTCCTTCAGGGCCGCTTCAACTTCTTTCTTCAATACCATTGGTTCTTGATTATGTGCCACCTCCTGAAATGGATGAAGACTGACTAGGTCTTTTTGGTACAATGACTCTGTGTATTCATTCCTGTCATCTTCTTCAGATGTTTCCTGCATCATTCAGTATATTGCCCATACAGCCTTTCAGTGTTGCAACTCAAGGCTTAAATTTGTCTTCAGTTCTTTTGGCTTGAGAAATGCTGAGCATGTTCTTCCCTTTTGATATTCTAACTCCAAGTCTTTGCACATTTCATTATAATAATTGGCTTTGTCTTCTCAAGCTGCTCTTTGAAATCTGTTCAGCTCTTTTATCTTGTCATTTCTTCCATTTGCTTTAGCTACTCTTCATCCAAGGACAAGTTTCAGAGTCTCTTTTGACATCCATTTTGGTCTTTTCTTCCTTTCCTGTCTTTTTAAAGACCATTTGCTTTCTTCATGGCTGATGTTCTTGATGTCATCCCACAATTCCTCTGGTTTTCGGTCATTGGTGTTTAATGCATCAAATCTATTCTTTAGATGGTATCTAAATTTGGGTGGGATATAATCAAAGTCATATTTTGGCTCTCATGGACTTGTTTTAATTTTCTTCAGCTTCAACTTGAATTTGCATGTGAGTAGTTGATGGTCTGTTCCACAGTCAGCTCCTGGCCTTGTTTTGACTGAAGATACTAAACTTTTTCATCGCTTCTTTCCACAAATGTAGTCTGTGTATTCCATCTAGCAAAGTCCACGTATATAGCCACTGTTTGTGTTGTTGAAAAAAGGTATTTGTAATGAATAATTCGTTGGTCTTGCAAAATTCTGTCATGTGATCTCCAATGTTATTTCTGTCACCAAGGCCAAATTTTCCAACTACTGGTGATTCTCTTCTTTGTTTCTACTTTTTCCATTCCAGTCACCAATGACAGTCAGCACATCTTGATTGCATGTTTAGTCAATTTCAGACTGCAGAAGTTGGTAAAAATTTTTACCTTCCTCATCTTTGGCTTTGGTAGTTGGTGTGTAAGTTTGAATAATAATAATGTTAACTGGTCTTCCTAGTGTTGTTGTTGTTATTTGCCATTGAGTCGGCCCTGACTCATAGCAACCCCTCCTTGGGTTTCTGAGGCAGTATCACTACGGAAGTAGGATTGCCCAGCCTTCCTTCCGAGAAGTGGATGGTGGGTTTGAACCGCCAGCCTTCTGGTTAGCAGTCAAGTGCCTTTAGGCACTATGCTACCAGAGCATGGATATTATCCTATTACTGACAGTGCTGTACTTCAGGATTGATCTTGAAACATTTTTTGTGATAATGAATGCCACACCTTCCTCTTCAATTTGTTATTCCTGACATAGTAGATCATATGGTTGTCTAATTCAAAATGGCCAAAACCTGTCCATTTCAGGTCACTGATGCCTAGGATATCAATCTTTATGCATTCTATTTCATTTTGGGCAACTTCCAATTTTCCTAGATTCATACTTCATACATTCCATGTTCCAATTATTAATGAATGTTTCCAGCAGTTTCTTCTCATTTTGAACTGTGCCACATCAGCAAATGGAGGTCCTGAAAGCTCTACTTTATTTATATCATTAAGGTTGGCTCTACTCTGATGAGACAGCTTTTTTCCAGTCATATTTTAAGTGCCTTCCGACATGAGGGGCTCATCTTCTGGCACTGTATTGGACAGTGTTTCAGGGCTATTCATAAAGTTGTCCAGTAATACATCAAACAGTGTTTCATTGCTATTCATAAGGTTTCCACTGGCCAATTCTTTGAGAACTGGGTGGCCTGTTCCTTTTTCTGAGTTTGTCTGTCTGGAAGCTCCGCTGAAACCTGTCCACCATGGGCAACCCTGCTGGCATTTGAAACACTGGTGGCACAGCCCCCAGTCTCACAATAAGATATAAGCCACCACAGTCAACAAACTGACAGAGAAGTTCATCTGCCTCAGATGTTCTAAACCACTCCACTCACTTCCTGGCCTTCTTCTTACTTGTTCCAGCTGTCGGCCCAGCTCCCACTTCAAGCCTGGGCTCTCCCCTGACCTGTTCTGCCCGTTTGCCTGGCTCCCTTATACTACAAGATTTAGCGTATGTTATTATCACCTGTTCACTTGATTTCTTGTGACTGTCCTGGGCAAATTTAGCAGTCAGCCAAATCTTTTGTTCCAGATTAAACACATTCTGGTTCCATAAATTCCACTATATCTGGTAAGTGCTGGGTTGCACATTTTCTTACTGCTGTGTTTAAATGGGGAGCTCTGGTAGCATAGTGCCTAAGGCACTTGACTGCTAACCTGAAGGCTGGCGGTTCAAACCCACCAGCCACTCCTTGGAAGGAAGATGGAGCAATCTACTTCCGTAGTGATACTGCCTTGGAAACCCAAAGAGGGGTTGCTATGAGTCGGGTCCGACTCGACGGCACATAACAACAACAACAACAACATGTGTAAATGGCTATAAAAAAACATGGACAATTAAAACAAAGTTGATACATGAAATATTTCCAGAGATTCCTCTTTAAAGTTAAATGATTAAACTGCTCCTGTCCATCAACAAACATCCTTGTAGGCTAAAGTGATAATTCATTTGCATTAGCTGTCTCTCACTAAGAAGTTAAAAACAACAAAACTCACCATTACTGACCTTTATTTATTTCCAGATACATGAACAGAAGTCGTATCGTTAGAATAACAATATGATTATTCTTTGTATGCATGTGTCAATACTTTATTCTTGAAAAATATTCCCTTGTACGAATATACCAAATTTTATTTATCCACTCATCCGTGATGGACATTTGAGTTGTTTCTACCTTTTGGTTATTGTGAGTAGTGCTGCTGTGTACATTTGTCTACAAATTTTTGTTTGTACACTTGTTTTCTATTCTTTTGGTCTTTACCTAGAAGTGGAATTGGAGGTACATATGATAATTCAATGTTTAACTTGTTGAGGAACCACCAAACTGTTTTCCACAGCAGATGCAACTTTTTAATTCTTACCAGCGATAGAAGATGATTTCATTTTCTTTGCATCTTAGACACACTTTTTTAAATGATGAACCTCATGTGTGTGAAGTGATCTATCATTGTGGTTTTGATCTCCCTCCATTTTTGTTTTACTGCTTCTCTCATCTTTTGTTTGTCATTCCTTTCCCTTCTGCTGCTTTGTAAAAGGAATATGACATTCTTGCTAGAGGGAGTTTTATTTTGTTTTGTTTTTTGCAAAGAATGAACTTAGTTTGAAGGTCAGTAGTGGTTTTGACTCTTAAAAGATCTTTTAAATCACAAAAGAGAACTCTTGAAGTAAATAATCTTTACATATTTTTTATTTGAGATGCCTACATGGTGAGGGAAGTTGGCGAGGTCTCCTAATTGTCATTATTCCTCATACAAACAATAAATCATCTGAGATCTTGTTCCAACTGAGCCCTATTTATTAAGTGTTTTTTCATTTGTTTCTTTTATCATAGGGAGAAGAAAATTGAAGGACTTAATTTTATTAGATGCTTAGCTGCTTTTCATTCTGAAATACTGAACACAAAGTTGCATGAAACAAACTTTGCAGTAGTTCAAGAGGTAAACTATTTTTCAGTTTGTTTCAATAACAAAAATAAATATGCCACATTTATTTGACTTTTAAAAAATCTCTACTAAGATAAGTATTGATTTGTCTGAAGAGAAGGGCACTGTACGAAATGTGAGTGATCAACATGGTGGCATTGAGGAAGAGGAAGACATAGAGAGGTACATGGGAGGTGCAGACAATAAAGATGAACCTTTTGCACGTACAGTACAACATTGTCAGTGAAGGTAAACATGGATATATGGGTTGATAGATGGGTGGACAGGCTGAATTATTAGGTATGTCTGTGCAGCAGGGAGTGTACCCAAGACCATTGTAAAAACGACAAGGAAGCCACAGGTTCTGACCTCCTCTAATCCCACAAGAGGAAGACAGGATTACCAGCAGTAACCCAAGGCCTATTACTGCCAGGCCAGACATGCTGCCTCCCTCCAGCCCTTTCACCAACCGTTC